TGAATGTGTGTGAATGGATGAATGATACACTGTAGTGTAAAGCACTTTGGAGTCCTTACTCTGAGAGGCGCTATACAAGTGTGGATCATTTATCATTTATAGTGTTGATCAGGCAGAGTTTTGTTGCCAGCGTTCCTCTGCACAATGGCTTCAAACACGAATATAAAAGTTAGTTTTTACGTAACCCATTGGATGAAATTATACAAACTGACTGAGCTCTAGTTAAGGCACTTACAATAGTGTGTGTGTGTGTGTGTGTGTGTGTGTGTGTGTGTGTGTGTGTGTGTGTGTGTGTGTGTGTGTGTGTGTGTGTGTGTGTGTGTGTGTGTGTGTGTGTGTGTGTGTGTGTGTGTTTGGGGGAGGGTACATTGGAACTTTGTCCCCCCCAGTTTGAAAATCCTATCTGCTGTGCTCAGCGTTGGGCGGGGGAGCCTGCTCATCAGCACCCCAGCAGAAAGGGTCAAACTCTGGTAACCGGTGATGGTTGTACCCAATGTGCAGCAGTACCGGGACCAGAGTCAATAGGGTGTGTATGGGGAGCATGAGTGGGTGTCCAGCGTGCATTTTTGTAAGTCTTGGGTTGTATGTGTACAGTATGTGTGAGCATGAGGGAGGGAGTGTGTGACTGTGTTTGTGTATGACTGTATATGTCAGGAGGGGCCTTTGACTCCTCCCCTCTCCTGGAACTTCTTTTGATGATATAGATCTTTGTCCCCCCTCCCCCTGCCACACTTGGCGTGGAGTGTGGTGCCTTGGTCTGTCTGAGTGTTCGTGGCTCCCGGGTCAGGGGGTTTAAGATTTTTGGCGTCTGCCTGATCAATCCCGGTGGCTGCCTGGTGGGATCTGGGTCCCTGGGCTCTGCTGGGTCCCCGGCAGGGGTGGTCGCCCCTGGGTCCCGGGTCGCTGGGTCCCGGGCTCGGCCGGCTAGGGGGTGGGAGGCTGCGGGCGGGCCTGTGGGCTTGCCGCTGATATCTCCCGGGACTCTGCTGGCTGCTGGTTTTGGCCCCCGGGGCGATCCTCTGTGCCTCTCAAGGGGGGCGGGGGCCTTTCTGGTTGCAGTCTCCTTGGGGTTCCTGTGTTCTGGGGCTGCGCCTGGATCTCTGGGACTTGGAGCTCCCCCCCTCTCCTGCGCATCTTTGGGGGCCAGATCTGTGGTCCCTCACACTCTCTATTGGACACTCCTGTAGAGAAACCTTACATAAACAAGCGCGTGTACACACACAGGTGCTCACATGGTGCTCTCAAAAGTATGGGCTTGGGCACGTTCAACACAGGTCTTAAGGCTATGGTGGGCACTTAATGAACTGTGGTTTATTATCGTGATTCTTCAGTTAAGCAATGTTGATTATATATTTCTTTATCAAGTTGACGCAGTGATAGCTTGATCTTGTTGTATTGTTGTTGTGTCCTTTTTTTTTGTTCTTTTGCTTTTTTTTTTCTTGTCTCTTTCTGCAGGTCTAGAAGCAGACTCTTGTTCATTATTGTTTATTTTTGTGGAACCCCCACCCCCTTCCCCCCTCTCTCCCCACCTTTTGTCTTTTCCTTTCTCTTTCACCTCTGACTCCGTATCTGGTCGGAATTACAAGCATTCAAAAACAACAACAATAAAGTTTTAAGTATCAGGCGTGACATTAAAAGCAGACGCTTTGATGCTCCACCTGAGAGTAAACCTGTACGGCTTGTTACCAGCATTCAGACATCAATTCTGTTTGCTTCACAGCCAGACAGGACACAGTAAAAAAATAAATAAAGAAATAAATAAAGAAAATCCTATCTGCACCTGGGTTAACTTATACAAGAATGTTAAAATCTGCTACCACAGTTTCACAAATAAAATTTATTTCACATAAAAAAAATATTACTTTTGCATGTTGAATTCCACTGGTCCATTCTTAGAGTTACAAGGTGACGCGAAAGTCCAAATGCAGCGAGCAAACATCTGGGTGCAGCTTTGTCTCTAAATGCAGTTTAATGGTGAAGAGAAGCTTAGGCTAAAGTAGGTGCTGCGTCGCTGGAATTGAGTAAAATTGGTCAACAGTCTTTGATAAACTCTCCCACTGGGTTGAACTTGTGCTTCAAGCTGTTCCACTGCCCTCAGATAGTGATATCATAGGGAGCCAGATTTTAATGAGAGCTCTGATTGGACAGCAGTATTTCATGACTAACGAGGTGCACTGTTGTCTGCCAGTTATATGCCAACCAGACTGCAGTGTGTGTGTGTGTGTGTGTGTGTGTGTGTGTGTGTGTGTGTGTGTGTGTGTGTGTGTGTGTGTGTGTGTGATAAATAGAAGTAATAGAGTTTACAATGTCGGCTGACGAATGCTCCATGAGTACGTATAAAGCGATTTAAATGCAGCTTCAACATTAAGTCACTGTTAATTCACATGAATCAGGTGAATCTGAGAGGAAGCAGAGTCCTTTTATTCTAACTTCTTAAGTGTTGCATGTAATATGTTGCATAAATCTCACAACAGGATATTTTTAAAGGTGTCCTAGAATAAAAAAAACAACATTCATTGTGTCTAATGCAGCATACCAAAAAGTCTGAGCCAATACCAGCTTCGGTGTACATTAGTAATGTTGTAATGGCCACGGAGAAATGGTTCTTTCAAAGAAAAACAGGTCAAAAGCTTAGATACACTCCTACATTTGCATGTCCCATGTTCAGTGTTTGCAGTAGAAATTGGTCGCTGTAATGCTAACAGCAAAACAATGCTTGCCCACGCTACTGCTAACGCCAGAAGGATGCGAAGCTTGCGAAGTTTTCATTCATTTCATCTCTTTGAACATCTTAGGTGTGTTCTTACTGTGTCGTATTTCTAATTCACATGAATCAGGTGAATCTGAGAATAAGCAGAATCCTTTTATTCTAACTTCTTACGTGTTGCAATCTCACAACAGGATATCATCTCCTTGTCTGGTTAGATAACGTAAATTTGGTGAGACGATCTTTAGTAGTTCGCTACGTCTTTTCGCAGAAAACCTTAAATTAACATTTGCTGCCTGTCTAAAATGTCCGCTTCAGAATTCACGGACATCATATTTTGAATCCATGGCACATACAGTACAGTATCAAGCGGGATCAGAAAATAACTTTTATCGGCCCATACACTCATTCATTTTGGGGGGGGGGGACCCATGGACTAAAAGTAGATGTGCGCAACTTATCCGTCTCTCCACCGAAAGTAAAAGCATCACAAAACGGCCACGAAAGGTACTACATGAATTTGCTGCCATTATAGTGTACAAGTTACTTCCCATCGTTAGCAAAGTTTTGGACGCATCTCAGAAGCGAAGGGATGCTATTGTTACATTTCCAGTTTGTTTTTTTACACGCTACGCTTCCAAAACATGCCAAACTCCACCGTTTGGGTCGGGCCAGACAGGAAGTCAAAAACGAAAGCAGTGTAGGACATCCAAAAACTTTCAACATTGAACTTACGTGCAGATAAACGTACGCCATTTCCTGTGTAGCCCCTGTAGCCGATGTAAACAGAACAGACAATTAACCACAGATCTTTTTGGAGATGTGCATCTGTCTTTCTCCTTATTTGTTATTGTGTGAACTTCTGAAATCCTGCATGGTGTTGCAATTCTCCCGTGGTTTTGTGACTTACCAGCGGCGTAGAATCTTTTGCTTCCTGTCGGGAGGGAGCTCGTGGTTAAAACGCCCCTTTCACGTCCGTTGGAAAGAAAGGGATATGCTCCCAATTGAAGGGCTTTATTATGGGGTCAGCCATTTATCAGGGCTCCAGGGCTATTTTGAGCCCCAACAAAGTTTCATATAGTTCATAAAGACTCACATGAGTTTCCTATCACAATTAGATGCAACATCAGCACCAACTTGTACATGAAGTAGTTTTAAAATTAAATGTGAAAAATTGGACAAAGCATCAGAAATACTAGAAAAACAGATGCTATTTGTGCTGAAAATGTGCAGCCAACTCGTACTGAGTCAACTATAATAATTACACAGAAAAACAGACATCGCTGTTGATTGACACTCTGCACATGGCAGAGAAGCAAAGAGTCATTCTGTGGGATTGGATGAAGTGGTGGGCTGCAGCAACCTTTGTGTCACTCAAAATCTGGATGAGAAGAACTAAGTTTTTATCTCTCCTTCATCGCCATCAACAGGCTCTCACATCAGCGGTGCAGCTTAAGACAGTAGCAGCTGAGACCGGAGTCAAAGTGGCTAAAACACCTGGCAATATGTCATCGGCGCATCTCTGTTTATGTTCCACCGGGGTCTCTTATGGTTATCACAGCCGAGGATCACTCTTTACTCCTGTCACCAGAGGCGTGTACTTTCCTAGGCTAAAATCAATACCTCTAAATGGGAATCAGAGAATAAGAACATCCTCAAAACCCGACAATCATCCAGGGACGCCTCCACAAACAGCCCTCTTTCCCTGTTTCCACCTTTGCTTTTTGTTGCTGTGATTTACATGACAGGTTTCTATCTAATTCTTATTTTTTAGACTTGTTTGCAGTTCCTCGCAGGAGCAAAGGCAGAATGTGAAAAGGTTATAAAACTCCTCCAGCTCTTTTTGACAAGTGCCCTTTGCTGGCTTTAATTCTTCGCCCTGATGTGAAATTCAGAGCGAGCAAAACAAAACAAGCTTTTGTGATATGATGCCACGGTTATCTAATACAGGAAAACTGCGCTGTGATCATTCAAGCTATTATATGATCCAGCGGTGATGCAGCTGGTAGCATGAAAAAAACAACGTTCTGTTATTTCCATTAAAAAGGCTGCAGAGACGCGGGCTTCTTGCAGCGATTGTGCAGCCTTTCATCATCCCAGGTGCCATTATTTCTCCAAAGCTCTATTTCATTTTGTGATTGATGGTTCCCTGGCAGCCTCAGCAATCTCGGTCAGACTCTACATGCTTGCAGCAGGCTCTCATACAGGCTATGATTCTATTTATTAATTCAAAGATCTCATTTATTTTCTTTCTTCTCACCATTTCGACTGTCTTTCTCTGTCTCAAACACAGGCCCGGGAAAAGAGTAATCGACAATGGACCGGCTGGTTCTGTGTGTGCTGCTCTGCACAGCTCTGGCAGAGGGCTACAGCTGCCCTGGCCGCTGCATCTGCCAGCATCTCTCCCCGACTCTGACGCTGCTCTGTGCAAAGACCGGTTTGTTATTTGTGCCCCCCACCATTGACCGCAAGACCGTGGAGCTGCGACTCACCGACAACTTCATCACCATCGTCCGCAGGAAAGACTTTGTCAACATGACCAGTTTGGTCCACCTCACTTTGTCTCGCAACACCATCAGCCAGATCATCCCCAACGCCTTTGTGGGCCTGCGCTCTCTACGGGCGCTCCACATGGACGGGAACCGCCTTAGCGTCATAAAAAGTGACCACTTTAAGGGGCTCGTCAACCTGCGGCACCTCATCCTCGGGAACAATCAGATCCACCAAGTGGCCGCCACTTCTTTTGATGAGTTTGTTACCACCATTGAGGACTTGGATCTCTCCAATAACAACCTGCGCAGCCTTCCCTGGGAAGCCATAGCCAAGATGTCCAACATCAACACGCTCACACTGGACCACAATCTAATCGACTACATCGAAGCAGGGACTTTTACGCTGCTCACTAAGCTAGTCCGCCTGGACATGACCTCTAACCGGCTGCAGAAGCTGCCGCCCGACAGCCTGTTCCAGCGAGCTCAGGTTCTGTCTGACGCCAAAGACTCCAGCTCGTCCACTCTGGCTGTGAGTTTCGGTGGGAATCCCCTTCACTGTAACTGTGAGCTGCTGTGGCTGCGCAGGCTGACGAGAGAAGATGATCTGGAGACCTGCGCCTCACCGGAACACCTCATGGATAAATACTTCTGGTCCATCCAAGAGGAGGAATTCATCTGCGAGCAACCCCTGATCACCAAACACATTGCCTCGAAGCCCTACGTGATGGAGGGCCAAGGCGTGACTCTCAAATGCAAAGCTGTGGGGGATCCAGACCCGGATATACACTGGCGGTCGCCAGATGGCAAGATGGTGCACAACAACTCCCGCACCGTCTTGTATGATAATGGCACGCTTGATATTCTCATCACCACGCTGAAGGACAGCGGGGCGTTTAACTGCGTGGCGTCCAACGCTGCAGGCATTGTCACAGCTGCTGTTGAGATCAACATGATCCCCTTACCCTTGTTTGTCAACAACACAGGCCACATGCGAGAGGACCCAGGCCTCTCGGACATCACCACGTCCTCCAAATCTGGCAACGACACAAAAGGCTACGACAAGCAGAACAGAAGAGTGGTGGTCACAGAACTGACCTCCTCCTCCGCTGTGATCCGCTGGCCATCTGAGCGCCACATCCCCGGGATTAGGATGTACCAGATTCAGTACAACAGCTCGGCTGATGACACGCTGGTGTACAGGTAAGTTGTGTTTGTGGAGGGCTGGATAGCGGGATACAGAAATGCTAATGTAGCAGATGCGTAGGGAAAGGCGAGACATCCAGCGTTAAAATCTCCTGAATAATTTAAAGGTCTGTTTCTGCAAATTGTCAGATGCTAAAAATGCTAAATGGTTTTGTGTAATCAAAACTAAAAGTAATCAGAGTAAAAAAGAAGAAGAAAATATCATTTCTATAACGCCTCTCAAGATAAAAATCACGAGGCGCTTCACAACAAAATTAAAAATATAAAAAAGAATTTTGAAAATGGTTAAATATATATTTAAAATGAGCAAAAAATAGAAAATTGGGATTAAAAATGTTAAGAAAGAGAGAGAGTGAACAGGAAAGAGGGAAATCAGTGGATCCTGAGGAAGGTGGAATAGGTGGGGTGAGCAGGATAAAGAGAGAGGGGGTGAAGAAGGTCATACAAAAGCCAGCTTGAACAAGTGAGTCTTCAGCTGCTTTTTAAAGGAGACCACTGAGTCCACTGATCTCAGGCTCAGGGGGAGAGAGGTCCAGAGTCTGGGGGCCACAGCAGCAAATGATCTGTCACCTTTGGTCTTTAGCCTGGTGCTGCACAACCAGTAGGCTTTGATCACTGGACCTCAGGGACCTGCTGGGGGTGTAGGGACTAAGAAGAACACCAATGTAAGATGGAGCTTGTCCATGTAAGGCCCTAAAGACCAGAACCAGGATCTTGAAATGAACCCTGAAGTTGACTGGCAGCCAGTGAAGCTGGAGGAGAAGCGGGGTGATGTGGGTGTGTTTGGAGGACTTGGTCAGAAGCCGAGCACAGGCGTTCTGAACCACCTGTAGACGGTTCAGGGAGGTTCTGCTCAGACACGTGAAAAGAGAGTTTCAGTAGTCTAAGCGTGAGGAGATGAAGGTGTGGATAACTGTCTCAAGTTCAGAGCGGGACAGAATGGTACTCAGCTTAGCAATGTTCCTGAGATGGAAGAAGGAAGAGCGAACAAGAGAACTGACATGAGAATCCAAGGTGAGAGCTGGGTCAAAGGTCACACCAAGATTCCTGACAGAGGGTTTGGTGTGGGAAACAAACTGACCAAGAGAGACTCTGACTTTGGGAAGCAGCTTGTCTGGGGCACAGATGAGGATCTCAGTCTTATCTTCATTCAGCTGTAGAAAGCTCCCAGCCATCCAGGTTTTGATAGAGTCTAAGCAGGTGTGGAACAGCTGCAGCTTAGACATCTCATGGGGCTTAAAGGAGATGTACAGTTGGATGTCATCTGCATAAAGATGGTTGGAGATTCCTTTGAAGGAGTTCAGGATGTGCTGAAGAGGAAGCAGATAGAAGCAGAAAGATCTCAGGTGGCATCAATATTAGGGCTGCAACTAACGATTATTTTCATAATCGATTAATCTGTCGATTATTTTTTCGATTAATCGATTAATCGGTTTGTTATTGTTTAGCTATTTAACCTATACAAGTGATGGATGCATTTCAGTTAAGAAAAAAAACATAAGAGAATTGTGCAGTTGACTGCAATCTATTTTATTGCACATGAACACAGTCAGCAGTATAAAATGAGCTAAACAGTGCAAAATATCAGTCCAGAATAATTTTTTAGCATTAGCTGGAAGCCTGCTCCTTCCACCATGGATAGTGGCCTCATGTCTTTTACCAGCATGTTTAGAATAGAGTTTGTAAGTGGTATGAATTGCTGGGGGGTGAGTGTCTTGTTCCCCATGTAGTTGTCCATCGTTGCTTGTTTTTTTTCTGCATAAGAAACACAAATAGACTGAAATAAGTACACATATAAAATAAAGCAGCACACACACTACAACACTAAATCAATATTATATTATTTGAATTAATTAACAATATACAGTGATCATTTATTTTGAGGGTTACGTTCTACAAAATAGCCCGCAACAGGAGATATTCAGAAAAGTCTAATTTTTTACTATTAAAAAGCTCTGAGTAAGAAGCTCATGAGGTTTTTACTTTGAGTCGGGAGCGTTTAAATTAGCTAGAGAAATGTGAAAAATGTTTATTTTGTGTAATACTGTTTAAGAAACATGATAAAAATGTGTTGTGAGGCGTTTTACAGCGTTAGATAGTAAAACAGCCTTTTAATAGTAAAAAAAATGACTTTTTCTGAATTTCTCCTGTATTTAAAAATTGAAAGCGTACAACTATGCCGCGTTATATTCACCTGGACACAGCTCGTCTGTATATTTTTCTCCGCGGAGTTGTCCTTTTTTGAATGAGGAACATAGTTATGGGTTTGCGCCGTTTTTCTCTTAACGAGAACATTCTTATAAACAGACGTGCTAAATTTGGCAAGCGCATGATACACAACACGGAGGAGATTCACGATTGCATTTAGTCAATCAGAAGTAGGACAACGCAGACTGACACGGCAAAAAAACATGTTTAACATCCACTATAACGAACTCAGCTAAAACACTAAGTCCAGCTTGTTTATTTTCTGTTACTTACCGGGCTGGCTCTTCCAAATGACGGCTCACTTGACCGCGGTGCTCTTCCTCTGCTGTATCAGCCCCCACATGCTTTCGTCTCAAATGTTCACTTAGGGACGTCGTGCTTCTGTGCCATGCTAGATGGTTTTTGCATATTTTGCAGGTCACCCGTCTTTTCAAGGCATCTAGAGTGAAGTGCTCCCATACTCGTGAGGTTTTTGTCCGGGGTTTCTCTTCAGTTTTGTCGCTTCTATTTTTCTTCTGTATTTCCTCTTGTTCCGCCATCTCTCACAGCAAGATGAGCGTCAGTAACGTGATACGTCATGAAAACCGAGGGCACTCATTGGCTCATTTCTTCTTCTACGGCTCCACTGGTAGATCAGTGGCTCATTACTGCCACACACTGGCGGCAAATTTAACAGCTTGTAACCGATGTCAGATTGTGGTAAAAATAGACTTTATGCGGTAAAATATGATTATTAAACAACTAATCGATGACTAAAAAAGTTGTTAACTATTTTAATAATCGATTATAATCGATTAAATCGATTAGTTGTTTCAGCTCTAATCAATATGCAACGCAGTGAGCTCAAGTTGCATCAAACACACCTAGGATACTCTCACTCTGAGTGGATGATTGTAAGCAGCTGAATGGATTGCAAGTCCAGTACCCTGAGGGACAGAACGGTCTCGTCAGCATCATTAGAATATAATACGACAACAACAACACGCGGTCCAACAATTTCACTGCGTGTAACAGTTTGTATCATTAAGAAGCGTCTGCAATAATTGGCTGCAACGCCGAGTAAAGAGAGTTTGTGTAATGTCGGGCTTTGTACTAGAGGTGGAGAGAGGATCCAGGCTTTTGTTAAAGGTAATTATCACATTACAAAAACACTCTTCTACAAATAAACATCAGGACAAGTCTAATTGATCTTACCAGGATTAATGAGGTTGAGGTCAACAAACGTGGTTCCCTTCATTTTTTTTCCTTTTCTTTTCTGTCTTTCTTAAGCACCCCAAACAGTTAGAAATGACTTTTTAAGTATTTTACTGTGCTAATCTGCCCACAGAATTCATAGAAGTAAAGGTTAACTTGGCGCGAAGGAGCAGACTCGTCCTAGATATGTGCACAGTGATGTGAAACAGCATTGCTCCCTCACAGAGCTCATGTGTTTTTCCCTTTCACACACCACCGTTACCCCCTCAAAAAATAAAACGATGGCCAAAGATATCTAGCAGCGGACACGGAGCAGCTCGAAGGACTTCTCATGGGAAAAAAGTCCAAAAATCCAAATGTTTACACGCCAGTGACTGAAGGCGCACAAAGCAAGTGTTTTATTTGTGGACGGAAGTTACGGTAAACGCGGGTTTGGAGGTGGCGGGAGAATGAAGGACAGATTTGTTTGTTTAAGCCTTAGAGACCCCTCAAGCATTTTATTTATTTATTTTATTCATGTTTTTTGAATAACTTTGGCTGTGCTGATGCAATTCTTTACATTTTTTGCACTGGTTTGTGGTTTTTTTTTTTGAGGGGGGGGGGGGGGGGGTACCAAAAATAAATTCCATTTAAAACATTGCAGAGACAAAAAGAGGAACACTGAGGTCCCTCAGACATGTTTTGTGCCATTGACTCCCATTCAAGCATTTTTCAAACTAAGCTAAATATCACCATAAATATGTTTTATTTTACTCCAACTGTGTTCCTGCAGCCACCAGGGACTGAAGTTGCTGGTTTTACTTTTTTCTTTTAAATGGTATGACTTCTCTATAAATGGCAGGGCACTGCTTTAACTTGTACTTTAGTAATGTATGTTTTAAAGACGTTGTGGCCCAAAAATATTTTTATGCTCATTTGTGACTCTCTAGAGCCTCACAATTCACCCCCTCTGGACATAACACACACAAAAAAAGAAAATTATTTTAAAAACTAAAAAAAAAAAAAAAAAAAAAATTCTTTTTTAATTATAATGTTGACTCTTATTTATTTATTTTTACAAAACATGGCACTAATGGGGTTAAATCTCAAAAACACTCAAATATTTTACCATGTTTGTTGAAGACTCAACCTAAGGGAAGAATCTGTGTAAAAAATAGACTTTTGAAATATTATGTAATTTATATTATACCTTTTGCCAAAATGCATTTTTTGTGTGCGAAGGACCTAAGTGTGAGATTTGCTGAATATCTGACGCTACACAGAAAAACACAGAGTAAACAAAAATAATTGTATGCTCTTCTGTGACTCTCCGTCTAGAGCCCTCACAATTCACCCCCAAAAGAAGTCCTCTGGACGTAACACACAACAAAAATTATTTAGTTTTTAATATTTTTATAATTTTGATTTTTTTAACAAAACATGATGCTAAAGGGGTTAAATCTCAAAAACACTCAAATATTTTACCATGTTTGGTGAGGACTGAAGCTAAGGGAAGAATCTGTGTAAAAAATAGACTTTTGAAATATTATGTAATTTATATTATACCTTTTGCCAAAATGCATTTTTTTGTGTGCGAAGGACCTAAGTGTGAGATTTGCTGAATATCTGACGCTACACAGAAAAACACAGAGTAAACAAAAATAATTGTATGCTCTTCTGTGACTCTCCGTCTAGAGCCCTCACAATTCACCCCCAAAAGAAGTCCTCTGGGCGTAACACACAACAAAAATTATTTAGTTTTTAATATTTTTATAATTTTGATTTTTTTAACAAAACATGATGCTAAAGGGGTTAAATCTCAAAAACACTCAAATATTTTACCATGTTTGGTGAGGACTCAACCTAAGGGAAGAATCTGTGTAAAAAATAGACTTTTGAAATATTATGTAATTTATATTATACCTTTTGCCAAAATGCATTTTTTTGTGTGCGAAGGACCTAAGTGTGAGATTTGCTGAATATCTGACGCTACACAGAAAAACACAGAGTAAACAAAAATAATTGTATGCTCTTCTGTGACTCTCCGTCTAGAGCCCTCACAATTCACCCCCAAAAGAAGTCCTCTGGACGTAACACACAAAAAGATTATTTAGTTTTTTATATTTTTATAATTTAGATTTTTTTAACAAAACATGATGCTAAAGGGGTTAAATCTCAAAAACACTCAAATATTTTACCATGTTTGGTGAGGACTGAAGCTAAGGGAAGAATCTGTGTAAAAAAAAGTGACTTTAGAAATATTATGTAATTTTTATTATACCTTTTGCCAAAATGCTTTTTTCTTTCTTTTTTTTTGTGCAAGGGTCCCTAGCTTAGCTTTTTTTAAGGAACCTCCAAGGGTTAAAAAAGTCTCTGAAATACATAAACACAATATGAACCCTCCGTGGACTGGAGAAACGTCTGCAATGGTGGCAACGTACCCCCAGAAAAGTGCTACGCCCTCTGTTGTCCTGGCAGGGAACTGCTTCTCAGCACTCCCAAGGTGCCGGAGAAGTCCAAAGAAAAACGTCTACGTACACGCGTGTGCCTGACTCCACACTCGAGCTTACGGAAAAGTACAAATCAGGCTTTGATCACAAATTCAGCATAAAAACCACAAGCTGTGGTTGCTTTGTTGCTGAATGAAACTGTCAGTGTGCATTGTCTTAGTGTGTTATTTGATAATGCAAAAGATAAAAGAGGAGTAATTGCCATTGGAGGCAGCTGAGGGTCTGTGATGATAATGCAGGGTGATGAAATCACTCACGTGGAACAGAGTAGTAGCTACTGTTTCAATACCTTCTAAGAAATACAGAAAAATGCTCTTCTTTTGAACTACGTGACTCAATTTAACATTATTTCTGATTTTTATATAAATGGAGCCAAATAATAATAATAATGGTTGACATCCTTTCATTTGCCACTTTTTCTTAGCTTTCGCGTGACACGATGAGTGACTTTCTTGTATAATTTTCTCTGTATTTCAGCATCAAGCCGAGTGTTCTGTCTTTAGGTGGTACATTATTCCCTACAAATGATTCCCATCCAAGTCATTCCCTTTGGGGGAAAGAGACAAGCTCCTAATTATATTAACGCCAAAGTTGACCTGAAGACAAAGCCTTCCTCCTGTGTGTTTAGTATAATCTCACAGTTACAAACCGTGACCTGAGGTAATCGTGCATCCAAACTGTCTCCACAGCATGCATCGCTCGTCCTGCAGCCCTGCAGCTGCAGTGATTTATTACTGACACAGTCAGCTCCTTCTACCACATTTATCACCTTTGCTTTCGTCGTATACCTGAAAGACTACATCTCAGAACAATTTTATAATCCAACAAGGTGCTACTATTTCACTGATCATCGATGTCATTTATTTCTTTGAGTGATTTATTTCATCTTTTGCAGATCAGTTTATGTAGGTGCCGTGTTTTTCGCTAAGCCTTACGGTCTTCTTTTCCTTTGCCCTGCAGAATGATCCCGTCAACCAGCAAGAACTTCCTGATCAACGATCTGGCTGCAGGGCGGGAGTATGACCTTTGCGTTCTGGCGGTTTACGACGACGGCATCACGTCGTTAACAGCCACGCGCGTGGTCGGCTGCGTGCAGTTCCACACAGCCAACGAGGTCAGCCAGTGCCGCTTCATGCACAGCCAGTTCCTGGGGGGCACCATGATCATCATCATCGGCGGCATCATTGTCGCTTCGGTGCTGGTGTTTATCATTATCCTGATGATCCGTTACAAGGCCTACGGCAGCCCAGTTGACACCAAGGCTAAGGTCAGCTCCAGCATGCACTCGCAGACCAACGGCAGCCAGCAGCGGCTCCAGCGCTCCATCTCCAAGCAGCTGCCGTCTGACGAGGACCAACGGGATTCTCATGTGCCCAAAGAGTGCATGGCTCTGGTGCTCAGTGTGGACAATGAGAAAAAGGAGGATCTGACAGCTACCACCGCCGTCCTGGAGGTACAGCTGCCCCCAAACGTAGACAAGATGAAGAGGAGAAGCAGCTTGGATGCACAGCGATCTGGGCCACCATCTGAAGACACACAGACAGACAGTAGCCTGACGGGCTCCACCATGTCCCTGTGTCTCATTGGCCCCAACGCCGGCTCTAAGGAAGCTCCCCGGCTCAAGGACAAGAAAGGTGCTCTGGCCAACGTGGGGTTGCTTCCTAACGAGCTGGCACGAACTAGGCACAGATTCTCCTTTGATGGTGGGGATTACTCCATATTTCAGAGTCACAGTTACCCACGCAGAGCGAGGACGAGGTGGCACAAGTCCACCAACCAGCTCAACATGGAGTCATCGCCGCTCGCCAACAGGAGAGTTACGTTCAGCAGCACGGAGTGGATGCTTGAGAGCACAGTCTGAGAAAACACAGTAACAAAAACAAGCCATCTCAGTCGCTCACAAACATGCCACAAACACAAGGCTCCTGCACAGCAGAGGGCCAGAACAAGCACACATGCTAACTTTGTTGGAGAACAGAAAAGTCTCCCTTCATCCTGCCTCTCCCCCATCACACCCCCTCAGAAAGAGTTGTCGGCCATGTTCCTTCTTTACGCAGCGGTGCCTTATTCTTTAAACGTACGAATGGAGGATGCTGCTCACTCTGGTCATAAACCGTCCCCTCCATCATCGCCTCTCAGTTCCTCAGAGGTGGCGGGGGGGGGGGGGGGGGGGGGGGGTACTTTGACTTTTTCATTTTCACCGTTTTCTAGCGGCTCGCCATGGGGACGTGGCGTCTTGATGTGACTGTTTAATTGTAAAAACAAACAACGAGAGGAAAAAAAACAGAACTTGATCAAGCAGTAACTGTAAAGTGAACAGCCAGGTATCCTGTTATGTCGGTCATGTTTTTGATTCTTTCAAAGAGAAAAAAAAAATGTTTGCACAGAAGACACGAGATACGAGGACAAGTATCGCCAACGGTCTATACAACAATAAGAGTAAAACAGGCCGCCGTTTTCAGCTCGGATGTGGGAGCCTGCCGTGGATTCCGCTTCTGACGGTCGGATGGTGTGATGTTCAATAGGTATCGTTCCAGATGTGACTGTATATTAATCAGTTCTGTATCTGGCTGGTCTAGATAAAAGGCAACAAACAAACAAACAAAAAAAGACATATATAAGTATATTAAAAACATTGGTGTATGTGTACTAACTATGTAAGTAAAGAAGTCATACGTCACATGACTTTTTACAGGACATTTTGGGTGCTGGCTGCAAGTTTTTACATTAAAAACCTGTGTCATCACACCTCCTCGGTATTTAGTATGTCAACGTTTCAACCATTTATCCCCTCTTAGGGTATTAAATTTTTTTGTGTGGGTTAACTGTATCAGTGGCATTTTCTTCTCGCTGCTGCGGGGGGCTGTCCAACGCTGCAGTAGCGAGGGTCACGCGAATGGAGATGATGAATATTTGATTTCCTGGTGCTATTTATAAGGTTTCTGTGAATGCATCGCAGCGGCAATGGAGTGGAGTGGGATGTGTGACGACGAGGGACGAGCCAGCTGGACGCGGCGGGGCTGAATTCTAATGAAGCCGGCTGTTATACAATAATGTAGGAGGTTGAGCTGGCCACCAGGAGGAGACAGACCTTTCTGAGGTTTGTGATTACATTTAGACTTCAGGAAGAACAGAGTTTTTAAAAAATGAACCAGATTATCATAAAATCACTTAACTTTGTGTTTAAAGTCAGTATTTATTCTATATAGATGCTTTTTGAAAAGTTCTAATTAGTTTTTCTGTAAATATTGAAGTTGAAAGCCGTATGACAATTTTATACTAGCTTACATTGTTGATCTGTTAAAAACCAACAAATCATGTATTTTTAATTTAAAAAATAGATGCTTTTTAAAGCATAAGAAGCATATTTTGGTCTTCAGCAGCATTTTTTCTATTCTACTGGTTAAGGCAATAATTAGGAAACACAATAATTCACAAATACATTTACTTTTTAGGATCCATCCATTGGGGCGATGGTGGCACAGGAGTTAAGTGCTTACCCCGTAATCGGAAGGTTGCAGGTTCGAGCCCTGCTCAGTTTGTCGCTGTCGTTGTGTCCTTGGGCAAGACACTTAACCCTGCTTGCCTGCTGGTGGTGGTTGGAGGGACCTGTGGTGCCAGTGCTCGGCAGCCTCGCCTCTGTCAGTGCGCCCCAGGGCAGCTGTGGCTACATCGTAGCTCATCCCCACCAGTGTGTGAATGTGTGTTTGAATGGGTGAATGACTGATTGTGTTGTAAAGCGCCTTGGGGGGTTCCAGGACTCTAGAAGGCGCTATATCAAATACAGGCCGTTTACAATTTAATTTACCATTTTCATCCGCTTATCCAGGGTCAAGTCAAACAACCTAAGTCTAGAGGCCCAGACTTCCCTCTCCCCTTCGGCCAGCTCCTCCGGGACAATCCAAAGGCGTTCCCTGGCTAGCTGAAGAACAGTCCCTCCAGTGTGTCCTGGGTCTTCCTTTGGGTCTCCTCCCAGTTGAACACGCCTGGAAAACCTCAGGAAGCACCCTAACCAGATGCCCGACCCACCTCAACTGGCTCCTCTCGATATGGAGGAGCAGCGGCTCTACTCTCAACCTCTCCCTGTTGAACGATCTTCTCACCCTATTTCTAAGGAAGACACCCTGTGGAGAAAACTCATTTTTTCCTCTTGTATCCATGATCTCGTTCTTTTGGTCACTACCCAAAGCTCCTGACTATAGGTAAGGATTGTAGACCTACAGTGTTGCCAAAATCGCATACATAAAATAACATTTGATCATCTCAGAGCTGCACGTGAGAGTGTTGCACACCATCGTGGATTGTTTACACTCCGTGTGAGTGATGAATGGGATGTAAAATAATATGGTACTAAACAGAAAAAAGCATGTCAGCAGTGAAAAAGTACGGTTAGGTTGAATAACGGATATTTGTTTGCAGCTACATAAAACACCCTCTACTTCTTCCAGATGCTTCGCACAGACTGAGATGAAACCAAGCTGCTTGGACGGAGAAAAGATCAAATGTGGTGCAGAATAAATAAAAGTCCAACTGAGGCAGGCTCTCAGCTGTCTTCAGTGTCCTATTTGCATCCGCAGTGACAGAGAAGATTGAGTCTAAAGGGGTCATCCTTCATCTTCCCTCATCACCACTCATCCGGAAGATTTGCATTTCACACCGGCTAAAATTCCCACTCCCATTTAGAGAAGAGACTAAACTTTGGGATATAAGTGCTCAGCTGTCAAGTTTCTGGCGCACAAACTTTGCAGCTTCAGTCCATCTGCATTAACTACTGACACTTACAGCATGGATACTTTCCCTCAGCTGGAAAGTATGTCAGCCCGTTCCTATCTGTAACCATTATTTAACACCGAATCTGCTTAGGTAGGAGGATGCAGAGATTTCGCCCTGACTTGAAAGAAATTGGCTTGGACAGCTGAAGTAGCAAACAGTAGGGGGAGAGCTAAGTGTTTCATCAGCAGTTCTGAGTGGCTGCAGGGAAAAAAAACTGCATCTTGATGAAGATAATTATTTCTTTCACTCAAGATCCTGTTTTATATTTAATGCATACTAATACGTGTTTGAAAAGCGCAATCTGAGCATGGTTTAGTACGTGTAAAATTCAAGTCTTTCCCATGCAAATCACTCTGTCTGCATGTTAATTATCCTTTTTAATAAACTTGTGCAGGTGTGCTGAACATCAGGCGTGTTCACCGATACTGCAATGGGCTCATTTAATCAAGTACAGTCTGTAGAAACTGTAAAACACATTTACTAATTCTTAAAGGGACACTAGGCAGTTTCGGCTTGCTTGGACACCCATTAGTGTCTTTTTTAATCGTTAATTGTGCTTTCATGCACACTTAAGTTGATTTACAGCAATAAACTGTGAGACTTTATCCTAGTTTACATGTACGTTGGAAACAAACTCTCGAATGAAGTTCACTACGGTTGGTGGCTAGCCCAGAAATCTAGACTGACCCCAGCAGAAGTCAAAAGGAGTTTGCTCCGCAAGTCGTCTAGCCACGCTCCACTGGAATGTCAGCAGGCCCAGACAGTCTTACCCCGGGTTTCCACAGGAGCCGTCAGCAGCACGTCTTGCTCGCGTAAGCTGCTGCTTGGCCCTTCCCACGACACGCGAAGCAGCAGGGGAGCAGCTGTCACCGACCGAGCACGAAGTCACACGAGTGACTTCGTCAGTAAACACAACAACAAGCAGGAGAAAATTACAACATGGTTTGTGTTTTATGTTCTGTCCGTTTTATAATCACCAATACGGACCTAAAAAACAAAGGAGACCGCTAGCTAGGTGATAACTTCTCACAGGGCCGCACAGTTAGTAACTTTTTTTAAAAGTAAAGCAACCGGAAGGCAGTACGTTCTTTATTCTGAAAATCTCGGGAGCTTCTCTCCATTTCCGCGTCTGATTTCCTGTCTTTCCTTCCCCAAAAATGTCGAACTTGACCCGTTTCAGAGGCGTCGCACGTAGAAAATAGAACCGACGCGTAAAGGCCGCGACATGCTGCTCCTGAGACGCGGCCGACTCGCGCTGCTGACGGCTGCTGACGGCTCCAGTGGAAAAGGTTCTGTTGACCACAGCGGTTCCTATCAGCAGCTATGACGTGCTGCTGCAGTAACGTGCTGCTGACGGCTCCTGTGGAAAGCCAGGGTTACGCCGGGAACACACCAGATGCGGAAGCGCGACGATGTGCCACAGAACAACGAGGGCTTTGTAGCGTCGTCATGGATCCATTCTTTACAGCTTCTAATGGGTGCCCTTGTTAACCTCTGCTCTCAGTCACATCAGCTACAAAGCGCCGCGAAGGCTGGCGCCGTGCAGCGATCATTTTGGCGTGAGCTCTAATTTTTTCGTGAGCCACGTCAATCGTGGCACGAAGTCAAACCAAAGCAGAAGAGGCAGGCTGGTAAATTTAACAAAAGAGAGAATTTTATCTAAATAAAACACAGCGATTGATAAATGTGATTTTTTTCTGTGTATCTAAATAGTCTATAAAGATGAAAATGAACACACACACACACACACTCCTGTGGAGAAACATAGTTTCCATAACTTTAAATGCAGTTTTACAGCAAAAGATGGATTTAATAAATGTGAATACAAATAAATACATTTAATTCAAAGGTAACTATAAAACAGCACTGTACACTACCACAAACACTAGGTTATCCACTTACCCATTTAGAAAGGAACTGGCCTACAAAACAGCAGCAGGATCAGCGTAGTTTCTGATATCAACAAGCGGCGCTAACTGGTTACACACACACACACACACATACACAGCAAGGGCACGGGGATGGGGGGTTTGGAAGTTGATGTGTTCCCATCGTCATGTCTTGCCAGTCAGCGCTCTATCGGTTTGTGACGGAGTGGAACAACAGAGATGCGATGGCTCATTTGAAACCTTTTGACCTTTCTCAGTGGCCTAGTGGTAGCGTGTCCGCCCTGAGACTGGGAGATCAGGGGTTTGATTCCTGGTCGGGTCATACCAAAGACTTTGAAAAAATGGGACCCAATGCCTCCCTGCTTGACACTCAGCATTAAGGGGTTGGATTGGGGGGTTAAACCACCAAATGGTTCCCGAGCACGGCTGTGTCTGCTGCTCACCGCTCCCCCAGGGGATGGGTCAAATGCGGAGAACAAATTTCGCACACAC